TTAGTCTTAGTTAGAAGGTTATATAGATATATATAATTATGTAGAAATATTAGTTATATATAGTTATGTAGTATTATATACGGTTGTATATACTTATATATAGTTCTTTTGTGTTATTGATTATATAAAGTTATATAATGATACATACGGTTATATAGATTTATATATATTTATCTAGAGTTTACTAATTATATATAGTTATACAGTGTTATATACAGTTATATAGATTTTTATATAGTTATTTTGTGTTATTGAATATATATTTTTATATTGTGATATATACGGTTAAAAAGATTTATATATATTTATATAGTGTTATATACGGTTATCTAGGTTTATATATATAATTATGTAGAGTTATTTAATATATATGGTTATATAATGTTATATACGGTTAAATTGATTTACATTTTGTTATATAGTGTTATTGATTATATAGAGTATATAGATATAGATTATATACGGTTATATAGATTTATATATAGTTTGCGACGATCCTAAAATTTAGGCGCTTAGCGCTTAATAGTTTAGAGCCACTGAGGCGAGTAGAAAAACCAGTTTAGTTTAGTGGTAGTTAGAAGGTTATATAGATATATATATATATAGTTATGTAGAAATATTAATTATATTTAGTTATGTAGTATTATATACGGTTGTATATACTTATATATAGTTATGTAGAGTTATTGATTATATAAAGTTATATAATGATATTATTATTATTATTATTGAAACATTTATGAAGCGCTAATTAAAGGAATCTCAAAAGCGCTATCTGACAAAAACTGAACTTAACAACATAATTGGAATAACAAACGAGTAATCATAATACATCGCACAGAAATAAGATTAAAATTTGGTCATAAACAGAAAAGTAATCGATTCAATAAAACGAAAATACGAAATAATATTTTGAACATGTCGACTAAATAGAAAGAATCGATCAGTAATGCATTATAATGAAAATAAATGAGTTTTCAGTTTCTTCTCTAAATCACGCAGGTTTAGGTCTGGATTTCTGAGAGCAGCAGGCAGTTTGTTCCAAACAGTTGGTCCAGAAACAGCAATGTTACGAGAGCCTATACGGAGACTCGTTGTTGGGATCAACAGCAGGTTTGAAACATCGGAACTCAAGTGTGTTCCAGATGCTTTTGAATATCTTTTTTTGAACCTGTCAGACAAATAAGATGGAGCTAGACCGTTGATAGACCTGTAGACAATTGTTGAAATTTTGAACAACACTCTTTTTTCGACGGTTAGCCAATGAAGTTCCTTCAGTATTGGAGACACATGATCGTATTTTAGAGCTCCAACAACAAC